TTACTGCTATTGAGAAAGCTGCTGTCTCCTCCATTGCACACGGCACAGCCTGCCAGGGATGGGTTGTATAAAAGACACAGCAAAGCCCAGGGGGAAACAATGCAGCTGAATTGCCAATGGGGATTTTATAGAGGGGGATGAGGGGAGCAACACAGCGGGGCTGGCACCAGAGGATGCAGAAGGGAGGGGGCAACATGAAGCCAGTTGGCAACACCCAGTCCAGACATGACCATCTCACCCACCAATTCTCACACTGAGACCTTGGGCCAAGCTCAGTGCTGGGTTTTTGTAGCAAAAAGTCCCTTTTTTGATGTAATGCTACATGCAAAAAAGACAAAGCCAACAGAGACACAAAAAAAAAACTAAAAAAGGCACAAAAGGGCTGAGGTTTTTGCAGTTGCCATAGAAATGTAGAGAAGGAGCTGACAACTGCAAAGTGTTTCCATGAAAGGACAGGATCAGGGTCAAGCGCAAGGTGGGCTCACTTGAAGGCGACCCAAGCGACCAGCCGTATCCATATGCCACGGCTCAGCACAGAGGCGGGATGCAGCCAGAGGAGCAAGGCGCCACAGCCAAGCATCAGCTACAAGTGGTGGCCGGGGGCCAGGATCTGCCCCAACGGAGTCCACCAGCGAAGGGCACCTCCCAGCACCAGCACCTGGCAGATGAACCCACCAGGACCTTGCATGATGGATGAACCCCAGCCCGCAGGAAAGGTCTATGGAGTTGGTTCACTTCGATCAGAAACTCCTTTTTCTTCCTTTTATTTCTGTGCAAACCAAAACTTTGGGGGAAAAAAATAATTTTTGAGCAATTCCTTCTCCTTTGGGATCAAAGAAAGGAACTCCAACGCTGACCACAGTATGGATCAGAAGAAGGCGTGAAATGGGAGCTTTCACTTTTAGACCACATTTAGTGGTTTCATTTTTCTTCTTTTTTTTCACTGGTTGAGTGAAATTTGGCATTTTTGCCACAATTTGCCACATTTGGCAGAGCCCTTCTGTGTTGGCGAAGCATCCAATGGACCCAAATCTGCATCAATCCTCGGTCAAAAAAAAAGCGGCAGTAGCTGTAAGGCAGAGCCTCCTGCCCCAGGTCCCACTACTACCTGTGGCTCCTGCCCCATTTCCACACAAGGCGAAGCTGGAGCATCCCGACAGCTTCTCCATCACATCATCGATGGAAGAGACTTCTTGAATGACTTGGACAGTGCAGCCACATGGCTATGGCCAAGTGCCTGGGAGTCTCCTGTTGATGCAGAAAAATGAAGGTTGGGAGCAAGCCTTGACTTAAGAGGCACCTCTTCGATAGTGCCCTGTACCTCCTACCCTGGTGAGAGCCTCCTCCTTTGGCATCTGACAAAGAAAAAGAAGGGCCAGTCCAAGGACACACAACCCTGCTATCATGGCCAAGCAGGGATAACGCTGTCACTCCTGGACAGAAAGGCTTCACAGTTTGGAAAACTTATTTTCCTTGAAAGAAAGAGCTCTAAAGAAACAAAATGGTCCGACAGAAGACTTCTGAATTTTTTTTATGTTATTTTTTTCAATAAAAGGCAAAAATCAAACATGGCTATTTTGCACTTTCCCCCTTGTTTTCCATTATCAGATCAGAAAACTGGCAGCTTTTGGTAAAATCTTCCATTTGGATGAAAAGCCTTTTATTGAAAGGCAGGAGAGCAGGTGGCCTGTGGTGGCCCTCCCTCAGGTATCATCTTGACAGCAACCAACAGGCCAACTATACCTCATCACCGAAGGGATTTGTTTGCTCCATTTTCCTTGCTTTCCAGCCAAAAAGAAGAGCGGGCGAGCCCTGGGCTGAGTTAGCCATCAGCAGGGCCTAACAAGGGTTTGGAAGGCAACCCAAAAATTTTAAGAGGTCAGGATGGACCCTCCTGTTCCCTGCGCTGTGGAAACGCTGCGCTGCTCTCAGCTGAAAGCCTCTCCCCTGTCCATCGGCCGCAGTCCTGGGGCCCAGATGTGTTTCCTTCCAACACTGGCAACCACAGCGCAAGTTTCTCCCTGGCCAGAAACCTGCCCGCAGCCACCCTCCCACATGCAGGGAAAGCGGTGGCACTTTGTCCACAGGTGTTTTGCAGCATGGGCGAGTCAAGGGCTAGGGAAGGTAACGAGCATTGTCCACCCTGGGAAATCGAACCAAGATGTAAAGCAGGACTCAGCATCTCCAAGAGCATCCAAGCACCTGGACAGCTGGTTTATCCACTCGTGGGTGCCCAGTCTGCTGGGCTGGATGGGCAGGACTGAATGCTTTATATTAAAGGTTTTATATTAAAAAAGGGCTGCGGTGCCATTGCATCATCCTGCCAGTCCCAGGCGCAGAGCGAGAAAGACACCGAACAGGGCTGCAGGACCAGCTGCCTCGCAGGTGCTTGCACAGCCGGGCAACACACAGCAGGGGAGTTGTAAAGGTGGAGTTTTGATATTTAGCCTGTGTCGCTGTCATTTGTTTCTTTAAATGCCTTTAGCTTCCTTCTAATAAAAGAGAAATCATTAAAAAAGCCCACAAAGGATCCTTCACCGCCAGTGAGTATCAATGTGCTGAGGCGGCTTATTAGTATGCACGGCACCCGCTCCATCTGCATGTTGTATTCGGTGTGACAACATCCTAGAATACAGATTTGGGCCGCAAGTATCCCGAGAGGTATTAGCAATCGTCTATCAGACAGGACGAGGAGCAGTCCCTGCTGTTGTAAACAAGGGGTGTTTTTCTCTGCCTCTTTCCCTGGGGGGAGTTCAGTGATTTGAAACAAGCTCATTCCTGCATCTTCAGGACGTTAGTTCCTGTTCTTCAGCAGAGCGGTGGGTCATCTTCCTTAGACGATTAAAGAAATATCCTCCTGAACCAAGCATGAGCTCCCCATGGGACACACTGAGGTGCCCCCAGCCAGAGAGCACCCCGACAGCCCCAGCACAGGGAACAAAACTCACACCCAGCACACGTGGACAGGCGCTGGCAGCAGGCAGAGGAAGGGCTTGTCCCCTTGTGTTCGGTGGCAGCAAGCAAATCTGGTGAGGCATCTGTGTGGCGTGGATGGACGTGGGGCAATCCCATGGTGCAGACAGACATGGAGCAATCCCATGGTGCGGATGGATGTGGGGCATCCCCATGGCAAGGAGAGACAAGGGGCAAACCCACAGCGCAGACAGACACAAGGCATCCCCACGGCACAGCTGGATGTGGGGCATCCCCATGGTGCAGGAGGACGCAGGACATCCCCACGGTGCAAGCAGATGTGGGGCATCCCCACGGCGGGGATGTATGCGTGAGTAGCAGGGAGGGTTTCTTGTACATGTATGAGCCACCATGCCACCAAATTACAACAGGGACCGGCAGCCCTCTCTGTGTGGCGTGGATGGACGTGGGGCAATCCCATGGTGCAGACAGACATGGAGCAATCCCATGGTGCGGATGGATGTGGGGCATCCCCATGGCAAGGAGAGACAAGGGGCAAACCCACAGCGCAGACAGACACAAGGCATCCCCACGGCACAGCTGGATGTGGGGCATCCCCATGGTGCAGGAGGACGCAGGACATCCCCACGGTGCAAGCAGATGTGGGGCATCCCCACGGCGGGGATGTATGCGTGAGCAGGGCCCGCGGGGGGCCCCCCCCCCCCCCCGCCACCCCCCCTGCCACATGGGTGCTGCTTGCTGCCAGCGTGGTGCCTGCAAGAGCACAGTGATGGATCATTACAACTCGCACACAACCATCTAAGTAAAAGCCTTATTAAGAGTTCATTCATTTTATAAACTCTCGGCGCGATCCACAGAGGGAAGTTAGATTGCCCAGTCTTACAATATTCTGTGTAAACACTGACACATGTCTAGTAATTTTAACTAGATCGATTTGCAAGGGAGACCAACAGTGGAACAAAAAAAAAAAAAATCAAATTAAAGACAGGGAAACATTCACTGGGAGAGGCTTTAAGGAAGCGAGTTGAAAAATACAGAGGAGGAGGACAGATGGATGGACAGAGAGGTACATGAGACAAAGGGACCTACCTCTGAAGCCATGAAATCTAAGTCTGTAATTCAATATCAAAATCCTTAGGTCCACAAGATAGGGAAAAAAAGTCCTCCATAGCCATCTTCTGCACATCGCCGAGGCTCTGGAGGCCTTAGCAGTCTGTTTCCCAGAGCATCTCTCCTCCTTCTCCAGCAGTCACCAACCCAGTCACAACCATGCGGCAGCTCCTCCGGTCCCATCCCGTCCCCGCCACGCGGGCCAGCCCTTGGCGTCCTCCTCCCCGCTTGCAGGATGCTGAGCGCTTGCTTCGCCACTGGGCACTTCCCTGCTACCTCCCGCTCCCGGGGGCTGTGGGCACAACCCCGGGCCCCCTGCGCCCCCCAGGCTGGGAACCAGCCGGCCGCTGGCTGCAGGGTCGGAAGTGATCTTCGGTTAGGGACAAGCAGTGAGTCCACAGTAAGTTGACAACGTATACACGCGCACGAGCGCACACACACACGGGAACACCTCTTTCTGTTTCCAGGATGGATTATTATTATTTTTTTAATCCTTTTTTTTCCTTTTTGCAAAAAAAATGCAAGCAAAAGAGAAAAAAAAAAACCCAAGGTTTTCTATTGAAGGTACATCTCTTCTTCAATATGAAGACATTAACTGGATCGAGTCGGATCCCCCATGCAGTGGTGAGCGAAGTCCTTTGGTCATTGCCAGAGCAGCACCCAGGTAGGACAGCAGGGAGCTACGGAGACGTCTGAGGACACTTCCACCCAGTCCATGAGCAGAGAGGGGAGCGGAGTGAGCAGTAAAGGCCAGGGCAGGGAGGGAGGGTGAAAGAAGAAAAGGAAGGTGGTTTCTCCGGATGGGACACTCCATCTCGTCCCTCTCCCTTCCCCAACAGCCCCTTTCTCTGTCTCAGTTTCGACCACTGCTCACTGGTGGTGGGATTGCAGTCTGATCTCTAGGGTTTGGGTTTGCTTCCCCAACAAACATTGGTTTGTCTTCATTGTTTTTTGTCTTTTTTGTTTTGTTTTGTTTTTTAAATATATGATTTGTACATATTTATATGTATTTATACGCCGTTCCCCATGACATTGGTAAGTGTGCTTCTGTTGGTGAGGAACGGAAGTCACCAGTTAGAGATGAGTCCCAGGAACATCCTTCATCTGCAGTCACAGTCCCCAGGCAGCGGCGGTACCTCTCCAAATGCTGCCCCGCAGCGCCTGTCAGTTCCTCCCCTCCCACCTCTGCCCCTCGCTGTGTGCCCTCCCCGTCCCCTCCCCATCGAACGAGAGACGTCATGCCATTGAGGTTGGAGACTGACTCATCTGTACTCGCATGGACTGGATGCTGTTCAGGATCTTCTTCTGGTGCCCAGCCAAAGTCACCCCTATTCTCAGGAGGTCTCTGGAAGACAGACAGACAGACAGAGGAATATCAATGGGCAGCTGAGGGTTGGTGTATCTGTTTTACCATCTCTAAGTGAGGTGAGGGATGTAAGCTCAGCTGGTCCATGCCTCTCAGCAGAACAAACACAGAGCCCAAGCACAGCCCTGTGAGCATCACTGAGGCAAGGAGGGACCAAGGGCAGGGAGATACCTGCATGCTGACTCCCAGATGGTGAACTCCCACCTCCAGACTCAGGGTGCTTCTGCTGACCGGTGTGATGGATGCCCACACCCTTCCTCCGCAGGTGCCTTGCACCGACCTTCCCACCTCCCCGCAACCCCAACCCACCCCAGGCAGCACCCAGCCCTGGCACAGCACCCAACTCACTCGGATGTCATCTGGGCAACGAGCTGCAGGGAGGTGAAGCCAGCCGTCAGGAAGCTGTCCCTGTACTGGCTCATCTTCACAGCGCTCAGCCAGTCGTCTACTGAGGTAAAGGCAGTGAAGTCGGGGATGGAGCGGTCGAGGAGGGGCTGAGAAGGCCTGCAACAGGACACACCACTGGGGACAAGCCCGGCTGGCACTGAGGGGCTGCTGTGCACGAGCCTAGCTGGTGCACGGCAGTGTTCCCCAATCCACCCCCCTGCACCTTCATGCTCCCCCCTGGCACTGTCCTGTTCCTGGCACATGCCTGAGACAAGTAAGGCCACGAGGAAGGCCTGTCCCATGGGAATACCACTCTGTCAAGCAGCGCTTTGCAACCCTGCACGTTGTAATCCAGCTGCGGGAGCCGCAGGGACGGAGGCGCCAGCAGAGGAGACACCGCGCCCATACGGTCACACGCCATAAAGAATCAATAGCAAAGAATTATTGCTGTTGCTCGACTGAAAACTACAAGTTCTTTGTCTGACTGTCAGGCAGAGCAAAGAGAGAAACCCCCCGCGCCTGGCAAACGATTTATGAATTCCTGTCCTTCCCCCCGGCAGCATGAGCCGCTCAGGGAGCCTTTTGCCACAGCTTGGGATGTCAACACTAGAGCATCCCCCACATGCTGGGAGACTCACACAGCGGTGATGGTAGCCACAGTTTTGAGGCTTGCCGGGTTGCGGATCATTTTATCAAGGGTGTTGACTATCTCGGTGAAGCGCGGGCGGGTGTTGCGGTCCTTCTGCCAGCAGTCCAGCATCAGCTGGTGCAGGGCAGCGGGACAGTCCATGGGCGGCGGGAGCCGGTAATCCTGCTCGATCGCATTGATGACCTGCAGAGCAGTGGGGGAGAAAGTAGCACATGAGGACAAGGGACTTGGAGGTCTCACGTAGGGAAAACTGCAGCCACAGCGGGGGGTGAGCCACCCCTGCCACTCCTCTCCTCGAGCCAAGCTGCCTGTGCGGGCAGAGGTGTTACAGGCAGCGCTGCCGCAGGCCGGGAAGGCAGCTGCCAGCCCATCTGATCATCAGCAAAGGGAGCAGGAGGAGATGCTCCCGGCTCCAACGGAGCTGGGGCTCTCGGAGGTTAATCTCCGCTCTGATGCTAAGCGCGTTGCAGTTCCTCCCAGCGGAGAGCTGCCACTCATTATCTCGGCAGATCGCATCGGAGTACAGCAGTCCAACTACCAAAGCTCTTTCCCTGTTCGTAAACCCTCTGAACATTTTCAAAGGCCCTGCAGCTTCCTGAAGTCCAATTACCAGCCCGCTGGCTTTTCTTCCCAATTTCCCTCCTTGCATCCTCTCGCCCACCAGCCTGTTTCATCTCTAAAACCAAGCGCTGCCGAGGCTCCGGGAAGGAGCAGATAGCCATTCAGGCAGGGTTTTCTTTTGGGAACGAGCCCCCACACACTCCCCAGAGCTGTGTGGATAACCCCCCAGTGCTTACGTCTTGGTTGGACATGTCCCAGTAGGGCCTCTCTCCGAACGACATCACTTCCCACATGACGATGCCGTAGCTCCAGACATCGCTGGCCGAGGTGAACTTGCGGTAGGCGATGGCCTCCGGCGCCGTCCACCTGACGGGGATCTTCCCCCCCTACAGAAAAAGGGAGAGCAGCTGAGAAACGGCTCCCTTGGCAGAGGAGCCTGGGACACCTGAGGCAGGGTTGGAGCCATCCCGCACACCCCCGGCTGCTGGTCCCTGGGGACCCTGCTGAGGAGTGGGCAGGCAGCACCCGATGGGATGAAGAGGCAGGAGCCGAAAACACCTCCATGAATTTATCTTGTACCTGCACAAAAGGGCTTAGCTAAACAAAACAAAAGGGTTTATCCAAGGGTTTATCCCACTCAGGTGTCACCCCCGAGTGACACCTCCCCACTCCGGGTGACCTGCAGGACCGGGTACATCGGTGGCCTGGCCCCAGGTCCCTTCCCAGGGAGACATCAGGTGACAAGGGCTACGCAGGACTGCGCTAGTACTTGTCTCAGGTAAGGAGCCACAGGTATCCCTGTCCCTTGGCCTTCAGTGGAAACAAGGTCTAACCTAAGAGCATTCTCTACGGCATCATCTGGGCTCCCACAGCTGCTGGAAGGTCCTTCCAGTCCTACTTCTGGAGTGGGAGACAAAAAGCAAAACACCTTTAAGCCCCAAAGGAGGCTTGGAAAGCACTGGAAAAGGAAAGTGCCTTTGGCAGAGAGCCCCTCATTTCTCCTAAAAGCTCAAAATCAGGCTCGGCATCTCAAGCCACCCCATCAAGCCAGGGCAGGTCCCAGGTCCTGGCAGGACAGGAAGGGCCGGAGGCCATGCTGAGGGGGCAGGGATGCTGTGGTGGGGCAGCACATACAGAGGGACTGCTCCCTGGGCAAGCACCGCTAAAATAACAGCAAAAAAAGCCAAGGGATGAAGGAAAACCACAGACATGCACGGTATTTACTCTGGGCAGAATTGCATTGTAAATCGTTTAGCGCAATTGTTTTCCATAGCCTTTCTGACAAAGCATCAGCTGCTTTTGAAGGATGAATGGCAAAAAATTTGATTTGAATAACTACAAATGGAGAAATTAACTGCTAGGTTGTTTTTCCTGCCTTTTCCCCAGAGCTAAAAACCTGCTGTGGGAGGCAGAGTGATGTAATCGCAGGCACAGCATCACTTCCCAGCTGCCAGGGAGATCTATTATGGCCTAAATTAAATAAAAACACAGATGAGATAATCTCTTCTATCTCTAAAGGTGGGGAAAGGCTACTTCATGCCTCATCCCAGCAGCTACTGATGGGGTCCTTGAACAAAAAATAAATGATGGGTGTCTGCTCAAAGACTGCTGCCTGCAGGACGGGTGTGGGCAGGGAGCAGGGCAGGTCCGGGGAGGGGGGAAACATCCCACGAGCAGGGGAGGAAGAGCGAGGGGCTGCAGCCAGGCCAAAACACAAAGGCACCTCTGTGGGTCTCCCATTTTGGAGGCTGGAGCCAGCCCCAGCGCCTGGGCACAGCTCGACAGCCCAAGACACTGCTTCTGCAAGAGTCAGTGCAGCCTTGTGCTTGCAGCCAACACACGCTCTTTTAATTAATTGATTAGATGAGGTCAATGGGTTGCTCATCCCCTTCTCCTCTGTTCATCCTCAACACCAATAAGGGTCTCTCACAAGCCCACTGGCAAGAGGATGGCCGTGGTGGGGAGCTGGGGGTTCCCCCGGGGCAGCAAGGAGCAAGGGGAGAGTGGGGCTGCCATTACCTACAAATAAGTTAATTAAGCAGAGAAGGGTGGCTGGGGAATGGCGGAGCTCCTGTTAGGCTTGTCTCTTTAATTAATGCCTGGAACAAGTTTCCAGCACAGAAAGGCAGACCAGACCTGGAGCGCTGGGGGAAGGGGAGTTAAAACGCTGTCGCTGTGCCGTCGGGAGATGCTGTGATCTCCCTGCCACCGCTTCCCGGTCTCTCCAGGGACTCCTCCATGCACCTTCCCTCCACGGAGGAGAGGGAAGAGCTTTATCTGTAAACTGCCGAGGGCAGAAAGGTGCTTGGGGGAGGAGGGAGGCAGAAAGGTCATAAAAGGGAGGAAGAAAAAGGAGGGGAAAGAAGATGATGGGTGGCAACCACAGCCAGGGTCTCTGGGCCACAAGCCTACATGGTGGGAACCCTCCTGAGATGCTTCCACCCATGGTAGAACCTCCAGGGCATACGTCCAGCACCTTTCTCCCAGGTTCAGCTGGCAGCAGGTGCAGGGCAGGCACAGGAGATGCTGAGCAAGACAAGATCTTGTGAGAGGTACATACCAAGGAGCTGGTGTAGGTGGGGTCAGAAGTATCGTCCTGCAGGTAGCGCGAGAGGCCAAAGTCTGACACTTTGCACACCAGGTTGCTGTTGACCAGGATGTTCCTGGCAGCCAGATCTCGGTGCACGTAATTCATCTCTGCAAGGTACTTCATCCCGGCAGCAATTCCTCTGAGCATCCCCACCAGCTGGATCACTGTGAACTGCCCATCATTTTGCTGCAATGGGAAAGAACAGGCACTGGGGTGAGCATGCAGACCCCACCGCTGGACCAGAGCTGTTCACCCCCACCGTTGGGAGGATGCTGCACCTCCCAAGAGGACTGCCCAGCTGCCTTGCCCTGCCTGATTAAAGCAGAGGTATGCCAGCACCAAAACACACGTGTTTTGGGGTTGTATGGCACACTGCAACCACCTCCCAAGCTAAGGAAATAGACTGGGATTTACAGGACGGGATGCCAACACCTTGTTCCCAAATCCCACAGCTGAACAACAGCCCACACGGCCCCACCTTGCCTTACCCGCAGGAACGAGTCCAGGGCCCCATTCTCCATGAACTCTGTGATGATCATGACCGGTCGGCTTTTGGTCACCACCCCTTCCAGCCGAATGATGTTGGGGTGGTCGAACTGCCCCATGATGCTGGCCTCACTCAGAAAATCCCGGCGCTGCTTCTCAGAGTAGCCGGCTTTGAGCGTTTTGATGGCCACATAGATCTCCCGCTTGCCAGGCAACTTCAGGCGTCCTTTATACACTTCTCCAAACTCCCCTGCAAGTGCAAAAGCATCCACTACCACCTCCTTCTTCACATAAAACATTGCAAAACGTAATGGTACCTTGAGCTGTTTGGTCTCCAAACCAACTGGCTGAGAAATGTCAGCCAGTTAACACTTCAATGATGATCTCCTCTATAAATCTACTCGCCTGTCCTCTTTAAAAGGGGCAACGTCTGCTGCTGAGGACGTGTTTGGGCTTGCAACCTTCTCCAGGGTGACAGAGCCCAGCACCAACAGAAGCAGAGGCTGGGACCACTCTTGCAAACCCCCACAAGAAGGATTTGCAGAGCAAGAGCATCAACATCTAAGGACTACCTCATTATAATGTGTCAGCGTTGATAATCTCGGTTGCCTTTTTCAACATCACTTATCTTGGAATGGAAAAGAATTGGGCTGTTTTCATTGCTGCCCTCTGATTTAAAATATAGAGAAAGCGTCCTCTCATTTTCAGCAGGAGAGCTTTTCCTTCGTCAAGGCAAAATTTGCCTGTGGAGGGATTACATTTAAGCCAGCTTTGCAGCTACTTTGCCTTGATGAGCAGCAAAGGGCAGCTGATACATCGCTGAACTTGATCCCGACCGAACTAGCTCATTGCTTCTTTGCAGCTTCCCCCCCAGCTTCTCACTTTCTCTTCTACAAGTACGACACAGTTATTTAAAAATGGCAATAAAAGCAGCACAGATGACATACAGATAAGTGCACACATGTGTATATATACATATGTATGGGAATATGGCACAGACTAGAGCGAGATATGGCTTTTTCTTGTTACCTCATGGAAAAGCCAAGTAGGAAATCCCAAGAGGCCCCGCAGTCACTCAGCGAATACGTTCATAGAGTCTTTGCCACCTCAAAAGAACTTTGAGAGCAGAAACCAACCTCGTGTCTGCCCTAACCCATCACAAACCCAGAAAAGCCTGATGTCTCGAGGCTTCCTTGAGGGTTTCCCGGTGAAGGACCGCATGTGCATCCCCAGAAAATTGTTCCAGTTGGGTGTCTGGCCACATAGAAGCAGTGGAGAGGACAGGAAGGGACAGGTGGCAGGGGACAGCAAGACCCACCTGCTCCAATGACTTCTTCAATCTTCACAAAGGATACGTCAATCTCCTTGGCAAACTCTCGGACTGCCTCGTTGGGGTCCTCATAAGTGAAGGGGTCAATGTAGATCTTCATGCCTGGAGACCCTTGTTGCAGGAAACATGGGAGCAACAGCAAAAGGGAGAGAAACCAAGAGCAGTTGTGCCATGGCCAAGAACTGGAGACCCCTGTGTCCTCATGCCCTCCGTACGCCCGTTAAGATGGCTTCTATCGCTGTGCTCAGCTGTACCACCTCCATAGACCGTTATCATCCTCTTCGGTCCCCCTGCTCCACCCAACCCTCCCCTGCATCCCCTCCTCTTCCTCTCTGCCCTCCGCTCCTCCACCATTATCCTTCCTCTTCCTTCTCCCCGGCAATGGGGAGCAGTTACAGACCTGAACTACAATTAGCTGGCTTTATGGTGAGGGCTTTACGAGGCTCCATGCATTAGTGAAGAAATATTTATTTACCCAAAAAGGCCTCTGATAGCTTTGTGGCGGCTACTAAATTGACAGAGTGCAGCAATTATAATCAACAACCTGTATGGAGCCATAAAATACAGCTTGGCCGGCCTCTGTGACAAGTGTGCAGTCCCTTGCATGGGGGCAATGTGCGGCAGCAGGATCCGGCCGCACCACAGGGAGATCCAGCAAGCGGACTCTTGCCCTTTTCAAATGGGGGAAAAACCGAAACAGGCCCCCAAATTCCCCATATGGGGTTTGCAGACATCATGTTTGGATGCCCTGGGGCTTGCAGAGCTGCTGGGGGGCACAGCCACGGGGCAGAGTGTGGCCACCACAGTCCCCAGGGCTCAGCGGGGCACCAGTGTTATACTGCAGTCCCCACAGGGGACCCAGAGAGGGCTGCAGTGCCCCTTTGGGGGTTCAGCCTCCTGTGCCATTGCTCACCCAAAAAGGGGACCAGGGATGGTGTAGCAGCCCCCTCAAGGTCATCTCTGGAGGAGACCAGGATGGACATCCCTGCCGGTCCTCCTCCCCAAGGTACCTCGGTGTTACGGTGATTAACGGCATTTGATTATGCTGTTAAGGACCTCACCAAGGGCCGCGATCCCGTTGCGCTGGCGCTTCCAGGGGCCTTTCTAGAGCTGACACGCAGACAACCACATGGACCGCAGCATTGCCTCTGTGCAGCTCCGCGACGGGAATCTCAATTGGCTCCCGGCTGCTTTGCAAGTTTGCCAGCAAGTAATTCAGGAGGAGGCACGAAAGCCTCGCAGCGGGGCACTGCTGGTGCAAAACAGCTGCCAAGGGAGAATCACTTGCGGGGCACCCAGGGCTGGGGAGAGACCAGGCAGGAGCATCCTCATCCCCAAAAGGGGCATTTGGGGCAAAAGCTCTGTGCCTCGAAGGCGGGTGGGGAAGGCTGCAATGAAGCCATCTGTGCATCTCCCAGTTCATAAATCCCTTTACAGCTCTGTCTCATACACTTTAACTGCCCCATAAATTTTTTTACAAGAGCAGCTGATGCTTCAGCCAGGATTACAAAGGGATTTACAGGATCGTAACCGAGACTGACTCACTGATCAAAATATTGAAGAAATAAAGGAGACAATAATGCCGAAGTTTCCTGCCCACTGTCAACACAGGCTGGTTTTCAAACACGCTCTGATGTGCCCTAGGGTCTGCCTGTGGGCTCAGTAAACACCAGGTTCAGCTCTCCCCTAATCTCCATCCCATCTGAATGAGTGGGATTAGGGCACCTAAACCCATTACTCATCCTGCAAACCTCAGCCACCGGCTCATCATCGCCACGCTGGCAAAAGCTGGGCAAAATGCCAGGTACCAGAACACAACTTCAAAGGCAACCCATGCAAAGCCTGCCTGCAAAGAGAGCTTTGTGCTCTTAAAATCGCCCCGATACTCCTAGAAACTGCATTAGGCCATTTATCACTACTGCAGACGATGGCAAACTTTTTATCACTCTTCAAAAGCTGAAGCGCTCTGCACTGCGACCCTGACTCCAGCATTAGATTCCTTCCGACATCATTTTTCCTTGGGAATAAATATCATTGGGACATAGAAAGACCCTTGCCTGATGAATCGCTGCCACTTCAACAGGGCGCTTTCCCTATTTCCCCTATCTCAAAGCTCCTGGCAAAGCAGTGGCAGAGATAAAGCATGAGAAATTACAACCTGAGAGACCCCATCTCACCCCAAAACCCACCCAGGGAAGTCCTTGCCAGCAGCAGGCAGCCGGTGATCCCCAGGGGGCTCCTGGGAGGGATGGCGGAGCTGCACTGGGGAGGCTGTAATTGCCATGCCACTAAACACACAGGTGATTTGTTCCGGCGGATGCACTCGTTACTCCATTAGTCGCTCGCCACAAATTTCCCACCTGTTTTGCTCGAGCGTCTGCAATAACCAAGTGCCTGGAGGCTCGCTAACCTTGAAAGGGTTTTGCTGCACGTCTGGGAGCCCCGGCACCCCCGGCTTTCAGGCACCAACCCTCACATCGCCCAGCTTTAAAAACTAAACACAGACACCCACTTCACTGCTTTCCTACCTGGTTTGAACACCCTGGGTTTTGAGGTGCTTGGGGCGAGCTAGGGATGCACGTGGGGTGGGGAATGTTTCAAAACAGGGGGAAAATGGGAAAAATAAGTCCACCTGCAGCCCAACGTGGGTTTAGCCATCAGGCATCAATTAAATCTTCCCCCAGCACCCACGGTGCAGAAACGCAAAGAAAAGAGGGAGGAAAAGCACAGGTCCATCGTATTTAAGTATCACCCGGTGATGTTTGGAAAACAGTTTATTGTTTGCTGGGAGGTTTACGGCCCCTCCCAGCCCCACCATCACATTGGGAGGGTTTGGTATGAAGCTGAGAAGGTCAAAAGAGATCTAGCGTGCTGTTGCCGGCTTGGCTGGGCTCTCCTGGATGCCTCCAAACCCTTTCCTTTCCTGTCAGCCCTCCCATTTTCTCTGCCAGGCTGATTGCTCCATATCCATCCCTCCCCTCTGGTCACCCATCCTGCTCCCCCCTTCCCCTGCTGTCCTTCACCCGTCCCTGCACCCTGCCACCATCCCTTTTCCGTAAGCAGGTGCCCAGGACCCAGGGACGGTTTCTTCCCGCAAGGCAGCAAAATGCACCTGGGAGGCATCTCTAGGAGAGTGTAAATGGGATTTACGTCCCGTGGGGATGGGGCACAGAGCCTGTGGGCACCGGGTGGCAACGCCTCACTCCCTGGAGCCACTGCTTTGCTGCTTTATTATCATTTCCAGCGATCACAATGGCCCGTTGGCTGCTTTACCAGGAGCTGGAGGAGTACCTGAGCACACGTTATACACAACAGACGCCTTGAATTTATTCTGGTGCACAGCTCCACCAACCGCAAAGGTGTCTTAGGAAAAGGCCTGTCAAGCTCAGGCTCTCCTAGTTGTTTGCCAAGGCCATTAGCAGCCCAAAGCCAGTTGAACCTTCCCAGTCACTGGCCACACATCCTTCCTGGAGCAGGGTGCAGGGCAAGCATCAGCCATGCAGCCAGGACAGCAGCAATGCCAGCCACCAGCCCCCACTCCCTGGCCACGCTCCCAAAATCCGGAGTCCCTTTAGCAGTAAGAGGAGCCCAGCACTGATCCTGGCCCGGGCAAAGCCCATGGCAGGAGATCAGGAGCTCATCCCCCCTCCGCATACTGCCGCTCTCCTTCCCTTCCTCCTTTGGGAGTCTTCACAGCATCCTCTCCCCATGCCTTGTTCCCCTACGTCCCCCTGCCCCCTACATCCCCTGTCCCCCCAAATCCATCCCCATTCCCCAAATCCCCCCTGTTGCTCTTCTTTTCCCACCCACAATGCTGCACCACTGCAAAACCCCCACAGACAGCCTGACACACAGCTGTGAACATCTCTGCTCCCACCCTACTGTCCTCTCCGTCTACCCCATGGGGCTTTCATCCCCCCACCGTGCACATTCGAAGGTGGGGGAGTGGGGGCACATGCCGGGTGCAGGTTTAAGAGTGTTTCCCTGCCCGCTTTTCCTCGCTTACCTCGGCCAGTGCTGTAGTGCTGTAATTTATCGCTGTACACTGCCTCCTTGCTGTAGGCGCGCTTCCTGGGAGAAAAGGGGAGAAAACAGCCGGGCTTGAGGGATGAGTGGCTGGCAATGGCCCCGAACCGCTCCCCTGCCAGCAACACTCAGCAAGCGGTGGCAGCTCAGCGCTCTGTCCCCATCCCTTCCCTCCTACCCCAAATCTCTCCCAGCTGCATCCCATCGCCTCCACCTTCCAGGTAGGCAGCATCCCACAAGGACCCACCTGCTGCAGACAATGGAAATGGCCACCAGCGAGACAATGAAGACCACCCCAGCCGCTGCGGACCCCGCGATCAAAGGCAGCTGCTCTCTCAGCTCTGACTTGTAGTCATCTGCAAGAGAAGAAGGTTGGGGTGAATTCTCCCTTGCACGCTCATGGAGGAAGAGCAGCATCCTAGGAAGGGGTCCCGTAATGCCCCCTCTGATTCCATGGGTGCTGCTCCCATGGGAGGGTTGTGGGACAAGGGGGATCCAGGCAGGAGCGTTGGTTGAGGCAGGTGACGAGCATGTGCTGCGTTGCACAGGGAAGGATTGTCACACTTGGCTTACACATACTTCAGGTTAAAAATATGGAAGAGAAGGTCCTGGGAATGAAGTCAAGCCAATGTGCTTGGGCCCAGTTTCCTGAAGAGATGAGGTTCACAAGGTGGCTTTGTCCATGCCTCTGGGGTTTCTCTTCCCTCAATAAATTTAAACCTGTTGGCCATTTTGACCAAATTTAACATGGGGTCTCACAGACACAAAGTTCCTACAAGTTGCAGGAAAGGAGGAAGAGAAAAGACCCCATTAATAAGCAAACCAGCTGGGGAAGGCTGCGCGAGTACACCCATATTAGACACCAGAGAGTCCACCATGCAAGAGTTAACCTTGAGAGAGAGGCCCAGGAGAACCCGAGCACCTTCGCTGCAGCTCTGCTTGTAGGTTTTTACATCTCAATGGATGGCATGAGCCAACTCCTTCTGCAGAGCCACAGCAACCACAACCACAGCATCCCTTCCATGCCAGGCATCCCTCAAACCCCCTGCATCCCCTCGGCCACCCCCTGCGTCCTTCAGCAGCAGGCTGGGGTGAAAGCTGAGGTGGCACATGGAGGACTGGACATGCCTGGAGGAACCCCAATAAAGCCATGTGTCTCCCCCCATTTTCCCCTTCTCCTGCCCTGCCCTGTTAGAGCGGTGTGGGTACCCACAGTGGGCAGTATCCAGCAGACCCCACACTCCTGCGGGCTTCTGCAGCCCTCCAGAAACACCCCCGTCTCCAACCATCCCCAGCAGGGTGTGCCAGGCTGTGCCAGCAGCCACAAGCAATGGTTAAAATAAAATTGACTCCAAAAGAAAGCATTTAGTGCCCTTTTATCTGTATTTTTCTACTCCACGGTTAATTATTAGCAACTGGATTTCTCTCTTGCACGCCGCTTAAATCCTGAGAAATTCTCATCTAACAATCAGTTATTATTTAATAATCTACACTATCCATTCTTATTAAATTTCAATTAATTGCTTATTTGAGGCAGGATTTTTCTTCTCGCTTCTCTAATCCTGAATATTCAAGGCATTGGGGGGGGTTTATTACCATTTTCTCCCCTTTGGTCGCCCTGTGTGGTTTTCCTCTTCCCGCCCCGGCTGGCACTCGACACGAGTGCAAGCACAGGGCGACTTGGTTTTAGGAAAGAAGAAAAGTTTTAGGAAAGACAGCCAGCAGGGCTGGGACCCATGGGTGTCACCTAAGTGGAGCAGGAACCACACCAGCAGCAGCAGGAAAGGGGGTCTCTGCAGGGACTTCAGCTGCCCCAGGAGTGGGAGGACCATGAAAGGAGCCTTGCTTCACTCACTGACTTCTGGATTAGTCCTGAAGCTGGGATTAATGAAAAACCCTCCCATGAGTTATTAGTCTCTAAAAGGATCTAGTGTTTGTGGGTGCAGGGAAGGGCTGGGGCCAGAAGAATGACAGCACGACTCTGGCAAGGAAGCCAGAAGAAGCCATGAAGGTCATGAGCTGGCCCTTTCCCTTTGACACACCACCTCAGGGTGGGAAATCAGCTTTCAGTGCAGGGTCTGACCCTTCCAGCTTTGTTCTGATGGCTCAGATGCAGCTCTGAGCACCCCAGGAGAGCACCCCTGGAAGGCATCCCAGGAGTTCTTCCTCCGGGGGTCTACAACCCTCTGCTGCTCCCCACCCTGCCGTGCCGGACTCACAGCCGGTGGCAGGGGGGCTCTGCCACCATGGTCAGAGGCAGGAAAGACAAAACTGCAGCTAAATAGCAGGGGAGAAAACAGAGCTATGAGATTTAAAGCAGATTACTTCTCCAGCTGGCGATTAATAAGACATCGCTGTAAATCACCTGGCTTTTGCCACGCTGCCCGCTGGGAGAGAGGTTTGCAGAGACAAGTTCATTTAATCCAATTAGAGCCCGAAGCTGTCACTGGAAGGACAACCACCCCCTTTGCCTCCCTGTCCCCGCCTCCCGGACTCACCGTCCGTCAGCGTCTGGAAGCACATCTTCCCGCTGTACTTGCCGTAGCCAGCCACGGTGCGGGCTCGCACCTGCACCACATACACCATGCCGGGTCGCAGCCCCTCGATCCTGGCCGTGTTGGTCTGGCTGCGGGCCATGGAGGAGTTGTATTCGTTGTGGTCCTGTGGGCACAGCCAAGAGAGACCATCAGTGGTGGGGACAATGTACCCTGCAGCCCACCCATCCCCATTGATGGCAGGGATGAGGTTTATCTGCAGCCAGATAAAGTGGTGGCCCTGGCTCTGCTCCAGGAGGACAAGCGCCGGTGGCTCGGACCCTCCTGGTTACCCTCGATCCCTGACATGGAGGATGCCACAGAAGCCAGAGCCACAAGCTCTGCCTGGCTTCCAGGGAGCTGGGGAGGTCCCCACAGCATGTGCCTCCTCAGCAGCTCCCTGGTCCCACCGCAGCAAAGAGCATGGAGCAGTGGGGGGAAACAATAAGAGCATCCACAGCAAAAACACTCATGAGCAGTGAAGTCCTCATCTTCAAACCACTGATGTTCCTGCACATTTCAGAAACGTCATGCAGTTACGGAAATACCGTAATATGCCCTACATGACCCTGCTCGAGTGGGTTCAAGGGCAACTTGCCTCTGCCTAGAGCCCTAGCCTCTACAGTCCCTGCTCTGCTGGCAGGGGTCCTTGTGCTAAACCTTGGTGGAGACATTGTGTGTCTCAAATCTCATTTTTTTGCAAAATTCCCCAGTGATTTGCCATAAAAGGGTCGCTGGTGAAATCATCTAATTATTCACATTTAGAGGAATTCATTAAAGCTGGCAAGATGCGGGAGGGATGGAACAGCTTGGGCTCGGCACGGTTCACCACAAGGGTTGTGAGTGTGTCCCCTGTGAGGAAGGACAGCTGCCAGCGAAAGGACCCGGCAGCAGGTAGTGACCCAGGACAGGGACAACCTGATAACCTTTGCCGGTCCTCGCCGTCCCCCTCCTTTCCTCCTGACGCTGTCCCCACACTCTGGGTCCCTGCTTACCCTAGCAGATACCAGAGCCAAGGCAGCAACAGGCACTGCTGCCCATGGGGGAGGAATTAGCATCTGCAGCTGCAACATCGCTTCCTTTCCTCTGGTTGCACATCGCTCCCAGCCTCTGGAGCCAGCATGGGCGACCAGGCACCCGTCCCACCACCTGGACCCTTCCCAGCAAAGAGCCTGATTCAGAGCTTGTCCATGTTCCCCCTCTCCTAGAAAGCTCAGGACCTGAGCAGCCTCCCAGCAGCGTGGTATGAAGCTCCGTGTGGCCCCAGCCCACCCGCGGTCGCGAGGTTTCCACCTGAGCTTACCGCTGCTGGCCTGGAGCCCACGGTGCTGCTGATGTCAGGCGTGCAGATGCGGCTCACCTTCTCGTAGTAGCGGATCTCGTAGTCCAGGATGATGCCATTGGGCTGCTCGGGCTGAGGCCAGGAAAGCGTGATGCTCCTCATCGTGGCGCTCACCTGGTGCATGATGGGGACGGTGGAGGGTGCTGCCGAGGAAGCGGGGAGGGAGGGAAAATTAATGGAGAGGGGTAGGACCACCGGCCTTGGGGAGGGGGAAAATCTCCTGGGCACACGGAGCATCCCAAATCCCTCATGCCTGCGGTTGTTCGCCCCATGGGACAAGCTCACGCATTAGCAGTGGGAAGAGCGGCATCTCAGCAGCTTACATGGAGCCAAAGCAGTGAGCCGGCAAGGGAATTCTGGTATTTAAACCAATTATTCTTTTTAATTAGGGGCTTAGAAATCCTTGGTGTTCCTTCTCCCTGGGATTGCTTGCTCCAAGGATGTCTCCCACAGAGGGGCAAAGACAGCAAAGCTCTCCCCAGCAGGGACAAACCAAGGCTTGAAGACGATCCCCAGCTCTGCTTGCCATCTTTTGCTGTAACAGCCTCTCTGGGGGAGCCAGCACCGCAGGAGCCTACATCATGGCTGCGACCCCAGGTGCTGTCAGTAATAGGATGTAGGAGCAAAACTCTGCCCACCCTGAGGATGATGACGGCAAAGCCGGGGACACCCCAGCCCAGCAAGGGGACCCCAAGGTGCTGGAGCCTGTAGCACGGCTTCGGCTCAGCCCTGGCCTGGAGGAGCTGCTGGGTCCACTCTTGGGGCTCTCTGAGGATGCTCATCCTCAGCACCCAAATGTGCTTCTCCCAGAAGTTTTATTTCTGAAGCCCAAACACTTGCAGAACAGTCTCAAACCATCTTTCAGCCCCTCGCCTGTCCCGGGGCCATGGCGCAAGGGTGCTTGAAAGGCAGTACCTCCATCCCTGCAGCCCCTGAGACCTCCCAGGCAGCAAACCACAGGGGTCCCAAGCATCTTGTCACAGCACCCCGGAGAAAGCAAGATGCTCGGCACTGGCAGAGCACACAGTTGGCAGCGGGTGCAAGCCTGGCGTGGTTTGTCCAACCCCCTTCCCTCCCTGCCATGCATTTCTAATCAGTCTTGCCAGCCACGCCACACACCATGTTGCTCTGCAAAGCTGCCCATAGTATTTCAGTTCACGCACCAGACTGGAGCTAAGCGAGCTGGTTCCTTTCAGGCACATTGTCCCCAATGCCACTGCTCCCTGCCCCGCTCTCCACATGCATTGGAGCAATCCCAGGGCTGCTCTGTGCCTGCCAGGGAGCCAAACATCCCTGGAGCCGACCACCCCCAGAGCCGAGCATCCCCGGAGCCAAGCATCCCAGAGCCGAGCATCCCTGGCGCCGAGCATCCCCAGCAGCAGCAATATCATCCTTCCACCATCAAGGACACCAAGCCGCTAAATTAGCCAGGAACCACTTTTCCAAAGGCTTTTTGCCCTCCAAGTTATACTTGAAAGGGCCAGAGCCAGCCAATACAGCCCTGATCCTGCACTTAATCCTACCAAAAGTCTCCAAGAAAGGTACCCAAGTCTCTCCGCACCCAAAGCAGCACTGGCATGACCTGCTCGCAGGGTCAGCTCCCTATCCAGTGCAGGCAGCGCTGGGCAGGGAAAATGCCTCCTCCCCATGGATCCGGGGCAGAGCTGAGCTCGGCATGACTGGCTCGGGGTGCAGGATCATGCCGCAGAGGGAATCTGGGGGTGGCAGGAGCCCCACTCCACGCGGCCGCACTGGGACATGTTGATAGTCCGACACACCTTTCTTTATCTGGCGTATTTAATCCCATGGGTTTTTTTTTTTAATCTCTCCACATCCGCTCTGAGAAGATGCTCATGGGCTGAAATTAAACACTTAGTTTGATTGCTGTTTTGCTAATTGCTGCGTTCCATGCCCCGTTAGCATGGATAGCAGCATGCAGGCAGATGGGGCTGGGGGCAGCCCTGCGGGGTGAGATGCACTAACCAGCCCAAATTCAGCCCCATGCGGGGCTAGGGGGTGGAAAAACCCGCTGCAAAGCCAAAGGGATTTTAGAGGTACAGCGCCGATCCTGCCCTTGACACACCTGATGCATTTCCATTAGGTTACCCCGCAGCCCATCCTGCAACGGGGGAGCACTTCCATGTTAATATTCAGCCTTTGCAAGACAAACAGGGGGTGCTGGGGTACGGACAGATGGATGTGGGAGCCCTGGCTGTTCCCAGCTCCCAGGCAGCCTGAGAGTGAGAGACAAGCAAAGAAACACCCCAAAAATCCCACCCCAGGAGAAAAGCTTGGAGACCAGAGGCAGGTTTGATTGCACATGGTTCAGGAGACAGTGATGCCAGCCAGGCACAAGCATAGATTTGTATTCCCCGGAGCTGGGAGACTAAAATATTTATGCCAGGTTTCAGTCTCTTGCTGTCCTGAGGGAGCAGGTTGGCGAAGGCTGCCTGCATTACACGCTCAACACAAAGCAGAAATTACCATCCCCTTTCTCTGCCCAAAGCAGACGGGTTTCCATCCCTTTGGCTCCTTGTGCTCCTCATTGCAGCCTGGGACTGGGTCCCCCCTTGTCATCTGCACACCCACCCTGTCAGCATCCCAGTTTGGCCCAGAGCTGTTTGTTCAGCTCCTGACACCTGATCGGGAATAGGGAGGGAAAGGGGCAGGAGAGCCTGGAAAAGGAGACAAGAGAAAAATGATGGGAGAGGGATGTGCCAGAGGAGACGGAGCCTGAATTCAGCCCTGGGATGCTGCTCCCCGCCGTGCTGCAGCCAGGCTGCATTTCGAGGCTGGGTTCACCCCATCTCCCTGCTCCCACCTGGGAAAAGGGGGGAAATGGCGATGCCATTTCATCCCCAAGCAATCTAGAGGGGGTTAAAAGCAGTTATCAGTCCTCACTCCCTTCCCTCCCACAACCCAGCTCTCGCTTTGCCCAGGGCGCAGGCACCCCTTCCACCTCTCCCGTCCTTCTCCCTCCTTCTTTTCCTGGCCTTTTTCCCCACTTGCTGCCTTCCCCGCAGGGCTGGATGCAGGTTTACTGCACCCATCACACACCACTCACACTCCAGGAGCTTTTTCCTTCGGACTCAGATCTTGCAACTCGTAGTGTATGGCTTAAAACCCCTGACACTGTGCCATCCCAGGACTCACCAGCTTGGTTGGTAGTGATGTTGACAGAGACATGCTGCGGTGGGAAGGGGCTCTTGTTGGAAACCCCGTTGACAGCCTGGATCTCAAAGGTGTAAGGCGTGTGTGCCCACAGGTTGCTAATGAAGACCCGGGTCTCCGTCAGCCCCAGCTGCCGGGGGACAAAGTCCACATTGTCGTCACAGCGGGAACAGGCGCGTCTGTCCGACCGGCACTTCTTGCAGACGATGTTGTAGGTGACATCATCCCGACCACCCGTCTCTCGTGGCGGGTGCCACTCCAGGATGATGGACGTCTCGTTAACGATGGAGATGACGTTGCGGGGGCCAGATGGGACGCCTGTGGGTAAGGAGAGCACTTGAGACAGGCCCTTGCCCAAAGCGTTATGCTCAGCCCTACCGGGGCTCAGCGGGAGCCCCGAGGGGCTCCAGCACAGAGAATAACACCCCACAGCTCTGTGTGCTGGTCTACCCATCACCTCCTGGCTCAGGAGGGATTCGGTCTCTGTGGCTTTGCCTGATTCAGGGTCAGGCTTTCCCCATCGGCAACACCGACCACCTGCACGGCCGGCCACAGAGAGAGGTTTCATGGTTGGGGATGGGGACTCCCATGCCACAAACACACTTAGTCTCCAAAAAACCCCCCATGCAGAGCACATGCAGATCCATCTGCAAAGATGGACTCATTTTAATGATCAGAGATGCCGAGATAGCTCCAGTGCTCACATGGAGAAGCACCTCAAACAGGTTATCACAGCGAGAGAAATGCCACTTAGCCAGCACCACGGAGAAACGGAGGAGCAGCAGGCGAAAAGAGAGTCAGAAATGGAAAGTGGTTATTAACAGTTCAATATCTCAAGTTGGGAGCCTGGGTATTTAACGGCACAGAGGAAGGCTCTCCTCCGTGCCTGGCACCGCTCACTGTTTTGTGAGCAGCTCAGATGTTGGCCAAGAGATCAAAATTGCATTGATCAAATCTGCTGGGAGCCATCGCAAATGCTTCGGAGGACGGGAATTGAACATGGCTCCGATTGCACACGCTGCCGGAACAGGGCCGAAGTCAATAGGGAGCGATTCAGGAGGAATCCAGGCAGGAGAGCATCATCAAGGCACAAACATATGTCTGCCCAGGTCTGGGGAAGGATTTGGGGTTAGCCAGGATGGCTCCGCAGCCAAAACCACAAAATCTGGCTGCTGGGTTATATTAAATAAGGAAAGTGATTAATTACTCGTGCTGGCAGGGCTCAGCACTGCGCTTCTGGGGAAGGAAAAGGACTTTGCCATGATGGGGGGGAGCAATAAAAATGATGGAGGACTTGACCTGCAAAGAAAGGTTAAGAGAGCAAAGCATGCTCCATCTTGGGGAAAACCATCCCGGGGGAGCCCTCCACATGTGTGTGCTGGGGAACATAGTGGCTGCAGATAAATTAGCCCCATTATTGGACGGGGACAGGATGGGCAGAGGTGGCTTCATCAGCACAGGGTGATGGTGGGCTGGAGAGGTCACCCCGTGTGGAGGACCTCCAGCTGACACCCTGCTCCGGCCACCGCTGCCAGCCAGCCCGGGGGGCCGTGGGTGGCCACCCCCGCCCAGCTTCCTGCCTGCACTGCCCTCTCCCCCTGCTCCCTTTATCGCACCCGGGCAGGCACTTTGGGAACCCCTCTCAGCCTTTGCTGCTGATACCGCAGATGAAAGCGTTTTGTTAAAATGCCTAGAAAAATGACAGCTTTTAAAAAAAAAATTAAAATTAATAATTCTGTTCCCTTTAATTCTTTTCCCCTTTAGCGGAGTAAATGCACATGTCAGGGAGCAGTTGCCAGTGCAGCATCCTCGCTGGAAAGGGCTTTCGTGGACTCGAGGCACCACAGATGTCCCATCATGGGGCTCCCCCGAAATCCCATTAGCAGGTAGTGGAGATGTCAAAGGCGTTTTACAGGAGGGGTGGTAAGGGACACGACAGGGGCAGGAGCAGGGGGAAGGACATCAGTTCCCCAGGGGGGAACCAGACCGGAGGATTCGCAAAGGCTGGGGAGAAGGATCAATAAATAGCAAGTTACCCCCAGAAAGCTGCAACCTGTCTCGGGAACCTTAATCCAATCCCCCTCTTTGTACCTTAAGCAGACAATATCTTTTCAAGTTTTTTTTCAAGAAAAAGGGAGAAAACCATCTTTCTTCCCTGGCCCAGAGGCAAACCACTGTCTCCCCAAATTCCCCCCCCTTTAATTGCAGCCCCTTCCCTCCTCTGCCAGGGGTACGGAGCAGGAACCGCACTTGCAGGCATCGCCCTCAGGAAGGACTCTGGTCCAGGGCAGCGCCCACAGCTCCATGCTGTTATTTACTCCTCTGACATGGAGAAACTTTGTCGGTGAACAGCTGGCATCTCAAATTAGAGCATTGTAAAATTAAGCGTCAACGAGAAGAAATAAAAATCAGCAAATGGACTTTTTTATACTGTATTCCTATAGCACAACAATACTGTAAATCAGCTATGTAATGAGACATAATAAAGATATATAGATTTATCTGCAGTTGTGCTACCTGCCGACTACCTTCGCTCTGACAGCTCAAGTGATCCAGCAAAACATGCAAATCCTGTCCTTGTTTCCGACGTGCATTTTGGGCATTTTGGGCACTCCCCAGCACTACAGGTCTGGAGCATCCTTGTACTAAAGCTCCTTGATGGGCTGATTCAAGGGCCTGGAGCATATTTTGCAGGGGGAGCTGAGGCTGAGACTCACGTTCCCAGTGGGCTGTAGAGCACAGCAGCTCTTTCTTCTCTCCTGGGGTCTTTTCTCACCAAAAGACAGGCTTGAGGCCGCTGCTGCCATCCCAGGCAGTTTGGGCAGACAGCCGAGCGGTGATGCATCACACGCAACGCCGCACTGAATACAAATGCTTAACGCACCCTTTCCCCCAATAAAAAAATACTCCATCTGCAAGACTATGAACAAGACAGCAACAGCAGATAACTTTAAATTCTAATTTATCCTGGAGACTATCTCCCTGCCATCACCACCACTGCCAGAGTGAAGTATAAATTCAAACAGATGCCAGAGAGGCGGGTTGCAGGGCCGTCCCACCGCTCATCATTTGGTGCGTGCCATGGCAGTGTCCCGGGAAAGCAGAGCAAAGGGTGACGAGACATCATCTACTTATGCCGGTGTGGCAGTGAAGGGACTTGCATCGGTGCAAGGAGCATTTCTATAGCGCATGGAGGAGGTGCTGTGCCATGCAGAGAGGGATCAGTATTCAATATGGGTATCCCAGCCCTCCACAAAGCTAAACCCTTGCGGTGGGTTGACCTCGGCTGGCTGCCAGACGCCCACCCAGCCGCTCTCTCGCTCACCTCCACAGCAGGACAGGGGAGAAAATAAGATGAAAAAGCTCGTGGGTTGAGACTTTATCCCTGCTGCTTCCCCAGCAGCAAAGGGGAGCGAGACCCTGCAGCCCCCCTGCCAACCCTAATCTGTTACTCACTGGTGCAAGCAGCTGATGGCAGGTCGAAATCCGCCCGGTAGTAGCCATTGCGGCACATGCAGACCGGTGAGGCCTCGGCAGTGGAGCGGCTGTTGGAAGGGCATGGCACGCAGACCCCCGCGCCCTGGCTGGCCTTGAACGTCCCCGCCGGGCAAGCTGCAAGAGAAAGGAGAGGAAAGCGGTTGGGTGTCAAACCATCCTGGGGCAGAGGCGAAAGCAGGTCCTGTCCTTGAAACAGGGCAGAAAGAAAAAAAAGAGAAAGAAATAAAAGAAAGAAGACACAGAAAATCTTCACACCTGTATCGGAGCTAAACAGGGTGGCACCTTCCTACAAAGCTAGGATGGCCATAATTTTCCACGCTGGCTATGAATTATTTCTGGAGCCACCAGGAAAACACTGAAATCACACAGCAATGATACAGTAATTAGCCAGGCAGAGCAAGGGAGCTGCAGCAGCTGCTTTGCTCCCCACCACTCATACCTAGGCAGCGGTACGGCAGGGGTCTGCGGGACCCCCTTCCCCAGGAGCACCCATGGGGACACGGACACGCAGGGGCAGGACAGTGTACCCCTTCTGCTGATCCGAAACGTCCCTTTCCACCACCCCAATGGCATGGCTCAGGTCTTGCATCTCTTTTTCCATGCAAAATTTGAATATTTAATTATTAAAAGTTGATGTGACGCCCACGACAGTGTCTCACGGGTCCATCCCATTAATCCCCCACAGCCCAGGGCTGGGGCTAATAACCTTCCCGGCCTTCAGCCTCCGAGTTCATTCAAGCAGGAAATGGCAACTAATTCATAAATTAGAAGATGCTCCAGTTACAGTTACAGCGAGGCTTTAATCAGTGACGGAGGGAGGTTTCATTAGTTAACCGTCATGCTGCTCTGCAGTTAGAGGGTGAAGATGGAGTGACAAAGATGGGGTTCCTCGTCCCCGCCCCACCCCACCGGTCCTCACCAACTAGGCGCTGATGAATGGATGCTCATCCATCCTCGACGTCTAACAAAACCCTCAGGTGACCCCTACAAAACCAAAGGCTGCAGAAGGGAACGTCTGTATTTTGACACATGTACCCAAGGGACCAGACTTCCATCCAGATCCACCATCTGGCCGGGGGGAGACTGCTCCTGGCCTCGCACACAGGGTGGTCCCACCTCCGTTTGGCTCCTGGGTCTGCCCCCACGATGCTGTCACCTCCAAGGCATGGCTCACATAGGAGAAACACCCTAAGTGTCTCATAAACACGGCGATGATTGAGATAATGGAAAGTGCCTCTTAGCCCCTGTCTGCTGCATCAGGATATGAGGCATCTCCTAGCAGCTGTGAAGAGGAAATTAGTAGGAGCAAGCAGGAGTAACCACTTTGATGCAATTTCCTTGGGAGATAGTGGACCATCTAATCTTTATTGGAGCCCTTTAACCTGTCATTCAAAACCCATGAAGGCCTCTTGCTCACACAGACTTTCCAGATATTAAAAGATGATAAAAAAGGATAAATCAAAACAATATTTTACAATTTTATTATTCCGGGGATTTTTTCCCCCACTTGAGGCATGCAACTGGCTGCGATGAACCGTCTCTTTCCAACGGCACTAACAGCTGAGTGGGGACGTGGCATCCCAGAAGGACCAGCCACCATCTCACGCTGCCCCTTCCTCCTCCCCACCACGGGAGGACTGCCAAGTCCTCTGCATCCTACCACAGCCATCCCACACATATGGCCTCTTATGGAAGCACTTAGGGCCATAAGTGCACCACCTCGTGCAGATAGGCAGCTAGACACGTGGGGTCACCATGCATTGCAGGACACTGGGTGGGCGATGGGAGGGAGCAGAGTGAGCTGACAGCAGAGGCGTTGGCTCACACCCACCCCCGGTGCGCGACTATCCCAACTTTAATTCTGGAGGGGAGGGAGGGAAGGAGGAAGGGAAGGAGGCAGGGAGATGGGTGGGTGGGGAGGAGAAAGGGTGGTCGGGAAAACCCAGCACCCTGCAAGTCCCGGCTCCCTCAGCGTGGAGACATGCCTCCACCTCTGCCCTGCCCGCCTCCCTCCCTGCCCGCTCCGCCGGCTCTACCCTTCCCCGGGATGCTCCGCCAGCCACCGCCGGCAGCCTGCTTGAGATAATGATTGAGGGCTTGAGGGGGAACTCCAGGATGCCAGAGCAGAAGGCAGCTGGATGTAGACCCTTCCCTGAGCCACACACATAGCCCTATGCCCCATAACAGCACAAGGAAGCACAGTTACACCAGACACAGAAGGCAGGAGACACAACCACGTTTGGACACCAAGAGTTCAAGGTAGATCTCCATTTCTTCACCTCTCCCTTCCCTCCAGCACCTCCCCACGATGTCCCAGCAGCACTGAGCTCCTGCCAGCAAGCGTTAGCATCCATGAGACATGCAACAGGTGATTTGTGGGCTCTAGAGCTGGAGGACATGTTCAGAAATGTGCCTGAAATGTTCTGGGCTCTTTGGAGGAGCAGGGAGGAGAGGGCAGCAGTACCAGGGAATGGCCACCTCTATTTTGATGGAAGGGTACGGAAGAGGGAGGGAGGAAGACGAGAGGGTCACAGCACTATGAACACGCCTCGGTTTTAAGCATAGGGGCACATTGGTGGGTTGGTTGAAGGCGTTTGTTAATTTTTAATTACAATTAATCCAAGTGACGCTTTGTCAAAATATCTGAACAAAGTACACTCTGCAACTCAGTGTCCTCAAGTTTCTTTTATCACTTCGCTTATCCGTAAATTCCTGTAATCTGCAGGCACGTGGCTCTTAATTGTTATTATTACCAATTAGCTTTTCTCTCCTGTAATTACACTGTGCTTGCCTAAAGTCTCCCGCAGTTTCGGGAGAGGCTGATGCCTTCTCCTTCCTCCCAGAGCTGCTGCAGGCTGCAGCTCTCCACTCTCGCTGTTGCCTGTGTCTCCCCTCTTTCTGTGGGAGCTGAACCATGAACCTCACACCAAAGATGAAGCCGAAACCCCCAAGCCCCTGCAATGCCACAGTGGGATTCATAGAGACCTGCGCAGTGTGGGATCCATAATCCTTCAGATGGTAAACATGCAGTCCGAGTGCAAGGCTTGGATAGAGGGCTCAAGCCCAGGAGGGAGCAATAAATCCCCCCACTAACAGCAAGTGCAACGTTTGCCCTGATTTAAGGGCTGCTGCAAGAAAGTTTCCCAGAGCTGGCAAGGTCTGGATCCACAATAGCGTCTCGGACAAGTGCGGGACAAGGCTCTGCCTCAGCTTTCCCTGTGGAAACGGGCTCCTTCTGCTGGTACCCAGGCTGTGGTGTAATCTGCATCTCTTCAGCCCGGCGAAGAATTAATTGATTCTTGATTACATGGGCTGGATAAGATTAATGATGTGCTTAACTATCCATTTCCTCGCGTTTAAGCACTAGGGGTGTGTTTGTAAATGATGAGGCACGAAATCCGGCCGTGCCACTCAGCGACTTCAGCGCTCGCCGGGGCTGCCTGTTCAGCACTTAAAACCCCCCCATAACCCAAAGCTGCCTGCGGATCGGCCGTCCTGCCTGCACACATCCCGGGCAGCGAGGGCCAGGGATTTGCCGGCAGGACCATTTTCCCAGGGCTGATGCAGGCGTTTGGGGGTGGGAGGGAGCATCGCTGGGGGCTGCTTAAACCCAGGCTTCTTGCAGCGAGATGTCATTGCTGGAGGTTTGGGGGGAGGGGACGGGGAATAGATGCAAGTCGCTCTCATGCCCGAGGGGTGCTGGTAGGGGTGGCAGCCAATTTGCAGCACCCCACAGGGCTGGATGCAGCTGATGGACTCCAGGCCAGAGCTGACCCTCTTACCCCTCCGAAGGCTTGGGGTGGGGATGCAGCCACGATCCATATGGGGCAAAACACCGAGTGAAGGCACCACAGACCTGAACCCCCATCACTGCCTCCCTCCCTCCCCAGCTTGCACGGGGAAGGATGAATTACTGAAGCAGTAGTGGCACGCAGCAGCATTGCACGGCTTTTTGCTGCTGAAAACTCTCCTGTCTTAACAGCATGTATCCTGCACCCTTATATTTTGGGTGCCAGGGGTCCTAGAAAGAGCAGGAGGTAAACGGGATCTCTCTGCTCATCCACCCATGCTCCTGCCCAAAGCAAGCTGCCATCAACAGACCAGACGGTCAGCAGAAAGGGTGCAAGTGCAGGGGTATCCAAGCGTTTCATTCTTCAGACTAAATCCTCTCAGTTAGCACCTGGAACTTGCACTTTTTAATTACTCTCTCAGGGAAGCTTTAGTCAAAAAAAAAAAAAAGAAGACAGAAAGACAGAAAGGAGACATCTCCTCTATATTAACTTGCTCTAAAGCTCCTCGGGGACAGAGAGTGGCATTTTTCCTTATCAGGTTTTAAAATAGGAGCTTCTACAAAGAATTACAGACTTCAGATCACAATTCCCCATCTCCTCCCCCCAGCCCTCACTGGCACCCCACCGCAGCTCCCTTCACTTGCAGCAAACCGAGTCTGCGCCAACTCATCATTCCCATGCCCCTGATGTCCCCGCTGGGGCAGAGCTAATCACATTTGCCTGGTTTTCCCAAATTCATGCTTTTTTTGGGTTCTCTTTTGGGTCCAACGCCTTTGCAGGGCAAAACCAGCATCTTTAAGCATGCCCGTGTACATGCCCATGGTCACACCAGCATAGCAGGTGATGAGAAGGTGGTTTAGAAGTAACGGTACTGCACGAGACGATGCCCTCAAGCAAGCCAGAGGTGCGGAGAGGACTGCCACGTGCCAAGACACTGGAAAAGCCTGGATGATCCAGCTTCGCTCCAAAAAGATGTGTGGCAGGCGCCTACCAGCACCCCCGGGAGATGGGCAGCAGAGAAGGTGCCCTGTTGGGTTTGAGGACACCACAGGCCATGAACGAAGGAGGAACTGTAGCTTATTACACTTACAGCCTGCTGGAAAAGGATTCGAGGTGATTTTCCTCCCTTTCTACAAATGACGATTTTTCATTAAGGAAAAAAACCTGGCTCCTAAAACTGACTTTCTGTAGGAGGCTCACAATTTTTTGATGAAACCCAAAAAAAGAGAGGAGACACTTGCTAGAAACCCCCTGTACGTTTTGCAGACACCTTTGACACAAAATGTATTTATCTTTAAGCACACCAAAAAAGAAA